TGAAGTTATGAAGATCTGACAGTTCGGTAAGCAAAAATTCTAAAAAAAACACCATAAATTGAGAACCACTTTCGTCGAACTCAAACAATAGGTAAATGCGCTGTTGGTCTTTGTCAGAGGAAGATATTTCGCGAAACATACTTATTCGCATACCAATTTGGTTCAGATGGAAGGTATTTCCTTTTGAACCAAACATACGTCCCGGTTTCTTTTGCGTGTTCTTTTATCGATCACATTTCGGGTTATTTACTGACCAGACGTTCCACGCAGTCTTCTCATCCTTTCTATGACTATCCAACTTGAATGTGAATCCCTGTAATGCTTTTAGCAGAAAGTCGTTCGATTGATTCTGTTGGCCTCTCTATCAGAGGCCTGGTGGGATCCTTCAACATCAGATGGTCCTGCTCACAATGTATAATAATCTACTGATTCAAACCAGATTATTGCGTACCTTCTGATCGTTCAGCCTAACTTCACCTGTCTGTTTAGGGTCAGGTGATGAACCTGACCATTATCGCAGCTGCGTCGTATTACTCCACTTATGCACAGGTTTTATAGAAGCCGCTAAGATCAGCCGGTAGTACAGAGCTAATTACCTATATACAATATATATATATATATATATCACAACAAATAATGAGATAATGAGTAAGCATATTTCGCTTAACGAATGCCAACCAAAGACAGGATGGGAGCATAAAAACTTCAGGCGGCAATGATGTTGCGTTAAAGTTCCTTTGATTCATTCCGGCAGCCAAGCTAGCCAGCGTGGTTGGGCAATGGATTTCCAGCTTTTACAGTTGCTGAAAAGGTCACTAAACATAATTCTCCATCTCTGGAACAAGGTAAAACCGTTCCGATGTAAGCCGCAGTTATTGAGCCTTCTGCTCATTATGGTTTCCAAAGAAAAGTGCAACTAAAAGAATACCAGTTATGTGGTGTGCAATATTCTATTGGAGCCTGATTGATCCACTTTGAAAGCCGCCAAGAATCCTGATTTAAAATTTTTCGAGACAAGAGAGGAGCCCATTTCCATCAGGTTTGTTGCCTAAAGGACATAGTCGTACGGCACCGAAGTACCATTTGACGTCGCTGTCAATGACAATGATTAGCGCCTAAGGAGAACAGCTATGTGGCACTTGAAACCCCTCAACAAGCCTGATGAATGACGTGCATCTCTTGGAGAACAGTTTGGTTCCATCTTAACTTGCTCTTGTAATTCAAAAGCCCAGCTTTTCCATTTTTAATTTCAGTTTGATAGGGGAAGAACTTTTACCATTTGACTAACTTGGTGTTTTTTCCTGGTTTCTATTAGTAGTCCCTACGCACTTTAGACGCTTCGTGAGCATCAGCTCCAACCACGTGGATTACTTACTTCTGATAACTGACCCGGAATCTTGAAGCAGCCAACTTCGCCCAGGTCACCGAAAAATATCCCTTTTAGTTTAGGTATAATTGATCAGCTCGTTCGCGTACACCGCTAATGTGATGGGTTTACACGTACTGGAAGATCATCCGAACTTCGTACTAAAAACACAGCCCTTTACAGCGTACATGTTTAGTTCCATCGGAAATATGACAAAACGGTTAATGAGCGCGGAACAGGGAACAACAAAATGTACTAAAATCACTAGCATGCTATTATTAGTATGTATAAACTCTCCGGAGAGTAGAAGAGCTTCTATTGCACTGTTGTATGGCTTTCATCTAAAGTTCTGTGAAAAGTGGTTTGCAGCTGTTTCCTTAAAAATTGGTGAATTGATGGCCGACTCTTATTAGGGGTGATTTTATGTAGGAAACGTTTGGGGGCAGTGTAGATTAGTTTGAATTTTCTCAGAAGATCGGTCGTTTTTCCCCGCGTAAAGTTGTAAATACATGAAGACCTGTTCCGTTTCTTTCTGTCACAGGTATAGAAAGAGACGGCAAAATAGACGAAAGGCCCGCTTCCACAACCAGACCCCCAAAGGCCTTGTCAAGTTGTTTAACAAAGAAGGTACCTGAAAAACTAAAATTTGCACTGAAATCCCCCATGCCATAACTCCAAGCACAAGCGAGTGAAAACTTATTATCGTGAATGTTGCATGCATGTGAATACCTGTGTCTCACAATGTAACCAGATAAGATCATTTGCGTTTTGCGTCATCTAGTCTGTCATAGTTAACAATGGTCAACAGCTGCACTTCCTCGAGCTATCATGCATCTTGTGCTCATACACTAAGGAAGTTTGATCATTGTCTGAAGTATGAATTTAACTACTTCCACCGATACGGAAACAGTTGTATACACACTCAGTAGAAGAGTCAAAAGGGTTATTTGAAAAAACTCCGTTAAGCAATCCATATTTGTTGTGCCAAGTGTGAAAATCTGACATAATTGAAACAATGGCCTCTTGGATGAATCAACGCGATATGCCTGGAATATGTTACTCGTGCGAAAGACCAATGGAAAGCTATTATGTATACTACTAGGTTTCACGGTGGAAGACGCAAGTACTTTCTGCGTATGACCAATTTCATTCTCCCACTTATCCCCTTGCGCCTTTGGACATTCCAAGTGACCGAACACACACCTCATCTCCACAATTTTTGTTCAGATATGAGGAAGCCAGTTCCGCTTGTGTATCATGAAATCTGCACCTAAGATATAATACTACCTGGAGGTCGAAAACCTTTTTTGCGAAGAAAGCATTTCTCATGAGACCAGCAAACCTCTGACTGTCGGCGCTGGAGGCGAAACCAGCTCTTTCGCTTCAGAACGGAAGTACTAACGAAGAACAGCATATTACTGGGGAGTGCGGAGAGGAAAGTTAGTGTTTTTTGGACTGACAATTTTCTCGCTTTGTGGTGATTAGAAAAAAATAGAATAACCAGGATCCATTTCACTAAGAAAACTATTTTTATTTGTAGTTTGGACACAGAAAATTCCGGAAAACTTTCGACATTTGTTCACTTCAATTACATACCAGTATTTCTCTCGTTTATAAAGCTACTTACGGCATACAACATCACATCAGCATCTTTGAAAATTTTTTTTTCATTTGATCCGAAATGCCCGATAATGTCCATTGGAATGTAAAACAAACCACGAAATTCCTACAGGAAATTGCTTTGTCGCATTAGTTTTCATCAGACATAATTAAATGTGGTTCGGGTTCTATTCGCCTCTCACTATTATAAGTCTTTTCAGTACGTAGAAATTAACCAAACCATGAAGAACTTGGTTTCACAGAGAGCATTTGAAAGATACTCACCTGTTTTTCGGTAGACCCAAAGTATTTTCGATAATTTCCCCACTCCAGTGGTTGTCATTATTGCCATACGTGTACTCGCTTGGACAATAATGGTGTCCGTATCTTGTTGACGGTTCCATGTTGCATTGCTGCTCATTATTGAAGGTGATATCCACAAGCGGAGAAGAACCGGAGGAGTAGTTTATCACTGGTACAGGCAGGTCTTGAGGTGAATCGACAGAGTTCTGAAATCCATTAGTCCAGTAGGAATTTGAATGAGTAACCGTGGCAGTCATAAGAGGAAAAGAGGGTTCATCGTAAAGAGGAGTGACTGGACTGTTTGCAGTGTTTTCTGCGGACATCTGATACGGCTTACTTTATCGCTGTACACTGAATTGTGTCCGGGAAGCAGACAAATATGGACTCAGTAACAGATATATCCAACTGTATGTACTGATTAGTCAGCTGGTGGTTCTAACGCACGTTGCGATCCAATAAGCGCCTCACCCACCCCGACCAACTAGTCTCATGCTACGTTCATGTGGCATGTCTCCGGTCCAGCCATTCGCATTGACTGATTTTCTGGCCAATTGAATGAAAAGCGCGCGAGCAAAGATGTTCCCCACCACTAACTCCATTAGACGCGAGCCTATGAGGATTGCTACTGGTATGGACTTGAGCGTGTGCTGTGTGTCTATCCACAATGCAGTTTCGACGATCTGTCTCCTCCGAACCAGAAGATTGCGTGACATCAGTGGGTTGATGTTTTGGGGAACTTTCATCCGAGCACAGCAGTTACACGCTGACCTTGTGTTTGATTACGCAAATGCGTTCAAAGCAAAAGAAGGTGGGAAAACTGGAATAAAGATATGTTCATGTGGTTATTCTGCTGTAAGGACCAATTTGGTGCGATGGGAAAATCAGCTGCTCGCAAGTGTTTATAGACGAAAACTGGGTGGAGGCAGATTCAAACATATTTTGGAACACGCACTTACTGATCACTTCATCAAGTGTGGGAGTTTTGTCGTCTCGATCAATCCTTACGTCAGTGGACTAAGATTCTAATTATTTTTTTCCATTTTATATCAGCCCACTAGACCAAAGTTCGCACTGTACACTCATCACGTCAAAGTGGCAAAGTTTGAAGAAAAAATTTTCTGCGGATTTTTACAGAACACAACTTAGGTCAGTCCTGAGGAGCGAATTTGGGAGTCCTGATTGAAGCACTGATGTATTACTGATTTTCAATGCAAAGCGGGTGCGAATTTTCTCCAAATGTCGTGCTGGTTGAATTTGAGCATATAGGGACCGATTAAATCGCCCGGGTTTACCAGTCCATAAAAGACTGTTCTACTAAAGGGGAAGTATATTAAAAGATGACATCGATGACATCGATGATGGACATGCATATCTTGGTAGGTGCTGGTCCAACTCGCGTGAGAGTAGTAGACAGTCGGGATACCATTTTGGCTTTACTGATGTACGTAAATATTCTTCTGAGTAAGTTTATTTTGAATAAATTTCAGAGGGTTAAAATACGTCACTTTAAGTACCCCGGACGTAATTTAGCGGCTATATACCGATAACATTCTGGCGGCAAACTTACACTTATCAAGCCTGGCACCTCGGGATCAAGGACTCCTCGCAGTCGCATACATTACCCAAACAAAGAAACTAGATTGTGTGTTTATAAAAGTATTCCTTGATTCTGCTCCTAATTGCACTGCATTCGGTCGAAATTCTGGTTCCTCGAGTAATAGCGGTCAGTGTTTCATGTTTTTAGGGTCAACGACTCATCTAATGATGTCGCCACCTGGATTTTAACAATATTATTGCCATACGTGTACTCGCTTGGACAATAATGGTGTCCGTATCTTGTTGACGGTTCCATGTTGCATTGCTGCTCATTATTGAAGGTGATATCCACAAGCGGAGAAGAACCGGAGGAGTAGTTTATCACTGGTACAGGCAGGTCTTGAGGTGAATCGACAGAGTTCTGAAATCCATTAGTCCAGTAGGAATTTGAATGAGTAACCGTGGCAGTCATAAGAGGAAAAGAGGGTTCATCGTAAAGAGGAGTGACTGGACTGTTTGCAGTGTTTTCTGCGGACATCTGATACGGCTTACTTTATCGCTGTACACTGAATTGTGTCCGGGAAGCAGACAAATATGGACTCAGTAACAGATATATCCAACTGTATGTACTGATTAGTCAGCTGGTGGTTCTAACGCACGTTGCGATCCAATAAGCGCCTCACCCACCCCGACCAACTAGTCTCATGCTACGTTCATGTGGCATGTCTCCGGTCCAGCCATTCGCATTGACTGATTTTCTGGCCAATTGAATGAAAAGCGCGCGAGCAAAGATGTTCCCCACCACTAACTCCATTAGACGCGAGCCTATGAGGATTGCTACTGGTATGGACTTGAGCGTGTGCTGTGTGTCTATCCACAATGCAGTTTCGACGATCTGTCTCCTCCGAACCAGAAGATTGCGTGACATCAGTGGGTTGATGTTTTGGGGAACTTTCATCCGAGCACAGCAGTTACACGCTGACCTTGTGTTTGATTACGCAAATGCGTTCAAAGCAAAAGAAGGTGGGAAAACTGGAATAAAGATATGTTCATGTGGTTATTCTGCTGTAAGGACCAATTTGGTGCGATGGGAAAATCAGCTGCTCGCAAGTGTTTATAGACGAAAACTGGGTGGAGGCAGATTCAAACATATTTTGGAACACGCACTTACTGATCACTTCATCAAGTGTGGGAGTTTTGTCGTCTCGATCAATCCTTACGTCAGTGGACTAAGATTCTAATTATTTTTTTCCATTTTATATCAGCCCACTAGACCAAAGTTCGCACTGTACACTCATCACGTCAAAGTGGCAAAGTTTGAAGAAAAAATTTTCTGCGGATTTTTACAGAACACAACTTAGGTCAGTCCTGAGGAGCGAATTTGGGAGTCCTGATTGAAGCACTGATGTATTACTGATTTTCAATGCAAAGCGGGTGCGAATTTTCTCCAAATGTCGTGCTGGTTGAATTTGAGCATATAGGGACCGATTAAATCGCCCGGGTTTACCAGTCCATAAAAGACTGTTCTACTAAAGGTTGGGTAAATTAAAAGATGACATCGATGATGGACATGCATATCTTGGTAGGTGCCGGTCCAACTCGCGTGAGAGTAGTAGACAGTCGGGATACCATTTTGGCTTTACTGATGTACGTAAATATTCTTCTGAGTAAGTTTATTTTGAATAAATTTCAGAGGGTTAAAATACGTCACTTTAAGTACCCCGGACGTAATTTAGCGGCTATATACCGATAACATTCTGGCGGCAAACTTACACTTATCAAGCCTGGCACCTCGGGATCAAGGACTCCTCGCAGTCGCATACATTACCCAAACAAAGAAACTAGATTGTGTGTTTATAAAAGTATTCCTTGATTCTGCTCCTAATTGCACTGCATTCGGTCGAAATTCTGGTTCCTCGAGTAATAGCGGTCAGTGTTTCATGTTTTTAGGGTCAACGACTCATCTAATGATGTCACCGCCTGGATTTTAACAACCTGCAAGCATTCACTCACTCATTTCATAAAGAACACAAACCATACATGGAAACAGACTGGACGTGTATGCTTGATTGCCTGCCGTCAGGGGGATAGTAGCTCACGTGCCTGCAAGCATGTTATCACTCATTTCATAAAGAACACAAACCATACATGGAAACAGACTGGACGTGTATGCTTGATTGCCTGCCGTCAGGGGGATAGTCAATAGCTCACGTGACAGATAGATGAGTTTAATATCTTAATTGGAAACCGGTGGCAGGTTGTCGCTATTTTGTCGAACATTTGCCGGATGGAACAGTTTCCCTGATATTAAAATTGCGGTTCAATAAGTCGTTCATCGTAATCAAACAGCTTCACCAGGTAGCATCCAGATTCTTTCACTGGATGGCGCTAAACAGAGACAGAGGGATAGAGACAGTGCGTATAGCCCAGAAACACAATGGACAAGGTTAGCATAAGGCTCTTGACCATTTCGTAATCAGCTCCTGGTCTTTAGGGACATAACTCTGCTGTTAAAAACTTATTTAAAACCAGGCAGAATGTTTTGTACGTTTAAAAAAGTTTTTGTTTCCGAAGTCATGGGACAATGGAAATGGATACGAAATCATCATAAGATCACCACGTTTTTATCAAATTTTACCGCTGACGTATCATAAGTAGTGGCAAAAGTTTATGAATCCTCAGTGTCCGTGAGGAGTATGGCTGTTTGAATTGGCTCAAATACATCATTAGGCGACTGGCTGGATTTCTTGGGGAAGTTAGGGTGAATCAGGAATTTAGCGATGATTACAATCCCAGGTATAGAAAGGAAAAACGGTGGCCTTCGGTGAATCATGGTGAGGTTCGGAGACCGAAAATGTCATTTGTTCGATGAATTCGTTGTGTTAAATAAGGGTAAAAGGGAATGAGATGAGAGTATTGTCAATAAAAGGTGCGATACCTTACGTAGTTCACCTTCTGAAAAAGTGTGAGATATGGTTTTTGGCTGAGCGTACTCCTTGTCTTTAGTCGTCTTTGTCGACAGTCAGCTGTCTCACACAGCTGCTCAGCAAACGACCTTGTCCTCTATGCACTACCTGTTCTCGTGTTATCTTGTTCACAAGATACACACCGTGTCAACATTTATTATCTGTTCATACACGAGCTCCCGTTCAAATGGGTATTGATTCTGTCCCTCAGGTGAATTGAAGACTGGGGATTCAGCAGGAAATTATTAAACCAAGCAGTCAAGCATCACAGCAGTCCGCAAAATTCTAAGTTCTTCCGGGGGAAAATGAAGCGAGGAGATTAACGCTTCTATAAGCCGTGGGTAAGCACACCACGGTTGGTTGGTTACCGCATGCTGATAGCAACGCCAGAGAATAGCACTCCTAGATCGCCAACCACTCTCATTTGCACAACGGTTGGTTTAAACAAGAGCCTGAACTGAACCCGGCTGAATCTGTTGTTTTTGTGATGCTCTTCTTCAGCTGAACGTGATGTACGGGGCGCCGCATGTTTCAGCTGGCAAGACATTCGAGATAGGGTAGTACCTCGTCTAGCCATATCACATTACTCATAGGATTGCTGAAAACTCTTCGGCAACTGGAAAAACCGACCGTGAGCTGTGAGTAGTGCTTTACATCTAAAACACGAAGCTAATTATCCTAACCAAATGGAGGGTGTTTCGGCGAGGCACAATCAGTCACGATTAAAGTTAGTATTAACAGGAGACCCACCTGAATTCCAACTGAATTTCTTCAACTAAATGTCCAGTGGACTGAAATTTGATTGATGGTTCTCACGGTGCAATTCTTACTCTGCCCTTCGTGAAACGGCTTCAGTACTTGGTGCCAACGTTTATGCTGTGTGACAGCGCGCTTTTCCAAATTATACGATTACTCACGGTGTCCAAGTCACTTACTGTCGACATTGACACCTTACTTCATTTGGCCATCCGTTTCGGAGATGTCTATTTACCTTCATTCCTAATTCCCCTAAAAATCCTTTCAGCAAAGATGTAAAGCTTCCGAATGGATTCGGGGAAAAATTTCCGGATTTTGACATCGGTTTCAGCTGATACGAATGGTGTCTTTACCTTCCTTATTGATTTGCTTTCTAGACATTAGCCGCGATAGTGCGTCGGTTTGGAGAAAATTTGAAGTTGGCTTGCAAGTTATTTCATAATTTTATTCAAAAACATTAGAGGGAACTGGAAGCATGGATCCGGATGGAATTTTAAGAACCACAGATAGTTGGCAATGGATTGTGGTCTTTGTGAGGCATAATACAACGGCCATTCAACGTTCTGTGTAATTGCTCAACAGCAACAATTATACTGAATATTTTCTTTTCAAGTTGAGTGTAATTTCTCTCATTCACTAACAGAATAAGATTTGTGAGAAATGGCCTTCGAAACCAATATATTGGAACCGTACCAATTCCCTATTCTGAAGCTTCGGCTATTGGTATGGTCTGAAGTTAAGGACGGTAAAATAGTTAACAACAAATCGGTGGGTACATACTGAAGATGAGAGAAATCTGCTTGACACAAGTGCGACCGGTCATACTAGGTGTCACTCGACAGCAGGGCATTAATGGAACTGTTTTTACCTTGTAAATGAGTAATGAAAATAACCACCAAGCCTAAAAAGCTTACAGATGCGGCTGGTTGGTGGGGGCTACCATGAAACCTTCTCTTTGGATATGGCCCTAGTCCTTTAATGACAATGATGAATCCTGAATAAAAGACAGTAGGCATCGAAAAAGAATTTCTTTTGGAGGCAGCGTGAAACCGGAATGTTTGATTCGACGGAAGACTTGCATGAGACTCTGAATGACCGTTTGCTGTAGCGCTCACAACAACTGTCATCTAAATGTCATAGTACACGATAAGTCCAAAACCATTATGTCCACCATTTAGTGGAAGAGGACAAGCGCATAACTAACACTAAACTGAAGGACGGTCTATTCGTACAAACCGCGGTAAGTATATACTGTCAACAAGCCATGCATTTGTACATAAAGATAGGTATCTGGATAGTCGATTTCTTTTAAAAATTCGCCTAGAAAAAACCTACGGGCTGTTGGAAGCGGATACTCATGATTAAAAAGCATCGCTTAGACTGGTTGAAAAAACACCACATACTCTTATGGAACAGTCTGTCCGTTTTGCAGCACTTGAATGAGTGGCTCAAGCAGAACAATCGACGGTTTACATAATACCCTGTGTTCCATTCTAGCATGCTCCCCCTTTTCCCTAGAGACATCACAGTATAGGGTAAGGATCTTTTTATAGGTTTAATATAAAAATAAACCTAAGTATCAATTTATCGACCAACCCGAACTGCTTCCGGATGCCGCAAACAACAGTAAGAAAATATTACAAGAAATAGTAGACGTGCTTGGTGCTTGTGAACAGGGCTGACTAATATTTTGAGTCAACCGTTCACTTTTACGTCAAAGTTAACAGAACACGACGGAATACTCTCTTCATGTCACACTACAGACAGAGTCAAAAGACATACCGACAAGTCGAGTTTTTCATTCCTGTCGTTTCTC